GTTATGAATGAATTGTATTTTATTATGATATTTAAAATATTGTATATGTTTTATAAATTATTAAATAGCTATAAAATATTTTTAATAATTAACTAAAAGTATTAATAAACATAATATGTTATGCATATTGTATTGAACAAAATAAATATATCATGTAATTTTTCAATTCAAAATATTCTTACATATAGAATTCAATGTAATGTAATTTATAATAATCTAATATTACAAGTATTAAGTTTTAATAAAACTTTTACAAAGTTTTAATTGACAACAAAATGCATAGAAATAGCGATATTTGTGTATCAAATAGAGACGGCTTAGAGAGGCGTCTATTGAATAACCGGAATATTGTGTTTAAATAATGAGTTTTCGGTCAATAAGAAAGTGATTGCGAAACACAACTCAACCCACGATTAAAGGCAAAACTCATTCACAAAAACGTGACATTAAAGCAGCCGTTTGTTGTCCCCTATAGTAGTAAAACATATACTTGTATAGAGAAAATCGTAACGTAATATAAATACCAACAAAATGTGTCAAACAATTAGCGAAATAAACAGAGAGTAAAGAGATATTCACTTCATATGAGAGGAGAGACTCTCAGAGAGCGAGAGATTGAGTGAAGAGTTTGTCTCTCATTTCATTTGATTTGATTGTAATGTTTGTATTGAAAACATAATCACATTATTTATAATAACAATAAAAATGTTTAGTTTTTGCGATTAAATGACTGGAAATAAAATATGAGTTATTATAGTGTATGAGAAGAGAAGTGCGGATTGAAAATGATTTTATCGTTTTATACACACGTTTTGTAATCACATGAATGCCATTGAATGTCATCATCAGATCCTTTGTGTGATCATTAAATGTGATGTTTTTTATGACAACATTTTATTGCATTTTCTAATCATTTGAGCCATAAATTTGTTGAATAGGTTTTTGACGAAAACATTCATCAAAATTAAATACAAAACTTTGCTTTCGTTTCAATAATGCTTTCATTGGATATGAATTGAATGGCAATTATCACTCAATTAGTGCAGTCTGTGATCACGTTTGCAAATTCAACATTTCGATGACAGTTGACTCAAGCCTTTGATATACTCCAGAGGAATATCGTTGTCGTTGTCGTTGCGGTGGAAATGCTTCAAAAGCGGATCCATTATCACAGCCTAATGCCTAATACACGGCTCGATTCGCGACTATTATTGCGGGCTTTGATCGCCTTTAATATAGTTTTAGCCGTTTATAACATAATTACTCTTCAGTCAAACACATCCAGTAAAGCCAATCCATGTCTGATTGTCATCAATACATCCAAACAGACCACTAATGTTCACAATTCACTGCAAAAGGTGTGCTTATTATCTGTTTTTGTAATTTAATTTTTAACACTTCTTACCATTAAATGCAACGAAAGGGTGATTTCGATGACAATGTGGCCAACTCTGAGATGACACCAATCGATAGCAAATTGTACGAAACCAAAGCCATAACCACTGAAGACAAACCCATCAATAGTTCCAAAATTAATGGCGAAATACTTAATGAGAAGAATAAAGAGACCATTTGGTGGTCGACCGAAACTCGTGGCTCTTATACTGTGCTCAAGAACTTCGTGCCGAGCGATGAGTCGCCGGATCCGATGAAGTCTGTGACGCTCACCACTCAGGGCACGCATTCATTCCTCTATCACATCGAGAACCTGTGCCTCCGATGGGACGGACACATATCGGTCGCCGTCTACTCTCCCGGCCTTGACTTTCCACTCGTTGTGAATCTAATCTATTACTTAAGAAAATGCCGAAACAGTTGCGTCAGAGAGAAGACATCGTGGCATATGGTGTACGACTCGCTCTTCAGTCCCCAATCCAACACTTCGTTCCCTTCCAGTTATGTCGAAGACATGGACTTTGATTGCAGTCAAAGTTACGACGAGTTGACCAACAGATTTAACACGTCGTTCAGAAGCGATCACTCGCTTCCATACCCTATAAACGTTGTCCGAAATGTCGCCCGACTTAACGCTCGCACCAAATATATATTCGCCTCCGATATCGAGTTATACCCGAGTGTTGGCATTGTCTCCGGTTTTATGCAATTACTCGACAGAAAAATGTCGGGATTAGTGCCCGTAATCTCAGGAAAGAATCCTCACGTTTATGTGATTCCCATCTTTGAGGTGAAGGTCGGCGTAACGCCGCCCAAGAATAAGACAGAACTCAAGGCACTCATGAAAACCGGTATGCATTTAATTGACTACTGATTGAGACAAATGAATGACCAGTTGTTTTGCCGTTACTTCAGGGAACGCCATATTCTTTCATAAGTGGGTTTGCGACGCCTGTCAGAACTTTCCCGATAGAAATCTCGTAAATTAATCTCTCTTTTATATCTGTATTACTGTCAATGATATATAACATAAGTTATGTTAACATAACACTTGTTTTTATTGAATTAGTGGATCGATTCCATACCCACTAACCATTCGTTGGGTATATTCCGTGTGACACGACGTCTACGGACTCGCAATACATGGGAACCGCTATATATCGGCACAAATGACGAGCCGTTGTATGACGAGAGGCTTTCATGGGATGGAAAACGGGACAAAATGTCTCAGGTATTGATTTGATTGAATAATTTAGTAAATGGTTTGTCAATAACGAGACGTGTGTTTGTGTGACAGATGTATGAGATGTGTCTAATGAGCTACGATTTGGCCATTTTGGACAACGCCTTCTTAGTTCACGCGCCGGGTATTAAACATATCGATCCAAAGGAGGAGAAGAAACGGTTGCCATTCATAAAGCGAAATAATATGGTCTACAATACAATAATGTCAAAGTTGCGCAAAAAGTATGGCACAAAAAACCAATGCTAAGCAATAATAGGGATAATTATTATATAAACGGAGCTTTTATTTCTGTCTCTCCTTTTCATAAAACTCAGTATTTATTATAAATATATTTATTTTTTCTAAAATATTTTTACTATTGCATATGTTTTACGATATTTCTTGGACTCAATTCTATTATTATGATTATTATTGTTATCAATTACTTTCTGTTTATTTATTTTCCAATTGTTATACAATTATATTATTGTGTCTTTTGATTGAAAGGAAGTTTTAAGTTATTATTTTGTCATTTGTTAAGGTTTTGTACAATTTTTTACATATTTTTTAGACATTTTTAAAAAGAGGTTTTTATTGAAATACTGTTAAAATGATATTTGTTTTAATAATAATTGGTAATAAATAATTGAAATCATAGTATTATCATTAATATTAATAACTTATTAATAATAAGTTATAACATAAAGTGGCGAAACTCTAGTTAAAATTACAAGAGAGTAAGTATTTGTTTGGTTTGGTTCATTTGCCCATGGTGATTTAAATATAAATTTGCATAAAAATTTCATCCTACAAACAAATTTAATTCATGATATGCTGTGAATGAGTGCAGAACTTGGACCATGGTCAATATGGAGAATGATGCCAATGTTAAACCATAGTTTCTCACGTCATTATCAAACACAACACCAGTAAAGGAATGAATATAAGTTGTATTATATAACATGGAATCTCTCAAAACCTATTCAATACTATAATATTTTGAATTTTATCTAACTTTATATATTTAAAATAAATAACAAATCTATGGAATAAAATATTTTTGAATTAGGAGTTAATTTTATTACATATACCATAAAATTCCGCACCCATGTATAACCCGTACATCAGAATTTTACAAAAATTCTACTTTTTTAATAGAAACCCCGCGGGTATTGCACGGAATTTTAGGGTAGTAATGTATTAAGCTTTCCCCACCCTGTAAGAATCCAGTTTAAATCTAAGGTAAGTCTATGGCACTATGTCAAAGAATTAATAAATATGATTAATTCTATTCGTATTGAATTGATGATAAGTCTATGATAAGTCATATATTAGGTTATAGTGTATGAATACATAGGTATTGATATAAAGAATAAGAATACATAAGAATGGTATGTGAGGTATACATTATGTGATAATCATAAGAATCGCATATAAGGTATATTGGGTGACATAAAGAATGTCAGGCTATTTGAGACAATGCAGGCATTGAAAGAACGGATAGTCACAGGTAGTGAGGGCTTAAATATCCGTAACGTATGACAAACGGGATAACCATTAAGCTGCTTTATTAAGCTGGGGGTATTTTAAACCGTTATAACAATCCTGGAAATTTGATTCAATGAAAAATGCATTATTTTTAATAAGTTAATACTAACATGTTACTTTATAACTAAATTTTATAAGTTCTTTGGATCAACAGTTAACATTATTTAAAAATTAAAATTCTAAAACAGCTATTTTGAACACTTTCTATTATATGAACAGATAATAATTAGCAACTTGAAAAAATTATTAATTGATAAAATACATTTAAAATAAATTTAATTAAAATTAAAACATTAATAAACTGAACAAATTTTATTAACAAGTTTTGAAACAAACAGTTATACAAAAAATGAATACAAAATCACTACTCATTCTTTGGCAAACTCTTGGATCAAGTCATGGATTTTGTGTCGATTGAGATGCAAGAGTAGGCCGACACCCAAGAGGGCGATTGCGGCGACGGCTGCGGCCGCGCCGACCATCACATCGTATTTGTCAAACTGTACGTCCAGGTCGTGGTGTAGGACCTCCTTAGCCTCCTTAGGACCCTTACTCTTGGTTCTCGTGGTCTTCATCGAGGCTTTCATATATTGCGGACGTTTTGGTCGCACAGCTTTTGCCGGCTCTTCATTTGTATCACTCGATGAACTGGTCTTCGATATATTGGCATTACTGGAGGTCTTCGCGACCCTGTCTTTGGCCGACTTCTTCTTATCGGGCATTGGTTTTCACAAATCGTTTATCAGATTTTGTTTTGAGGTTTTAATCTTAAATAACTGTCTGTTTATAAAGTAATTTGTTTAGAAATTTATTGTGTTTTCAGTTATAATTAATTCAAATAAAATTTAATTTAAAATAGTTGTTAGCATAGAGAGCGCGTTAAAATAATATTGGTTATTTTGTAACAATATAGTTATTTTGTCAATTTAATTACAACTATTTTGTCTAGTATTTATTAAAAGTAAGACAATATAAATTTATTCTACTATTAAATATACTGTACTGTGATTCCACTGAAGTATACTATATTTTATTTTTATTACAGTAAAAATATTTAAACCATATTTAAATTGGCAAATATATAAACTAAATCTTATTCATTCAACTATTACTTATTGATTGTAACCATTTTAGTGAATAAACTGCACGTAATCATTAATTTATATTTTTATTTTCCATTTTCTTATATATTTGATGAATAAATGTGTGATCAATACTGTATTAGATAACATGCATTATATTCACTGTCGAGTTTACTCCCAAATTCTCAACTAAATATTTAATATATTTTTTACGGAGGAATTGTGATCAACACATGTTTTACACAATTTTGGTTTATATTGATGAAAATAAATTTTAAAGTAATCTCATTTAAAATTCTAACAGTAAATCCACTGTACATTAAACATATCACTTTTATCATGATGCTGTAGACTCTACAGTGTCGAGCGTGTTATATGCTTTACCTATATTAATAACACTTTTGGTAATCTCCATAAGTTTTGTCACTAAAATCTACTTAAGATTCAAAACATTGGATCAAAACATTCAATCAATTTTCAGTTTAAAGGGATTTCAATTGATCTGCGATTCCAAGAGATTTAATATAATTTTATTATTTTCTCTCATTTTTGGATCAAATTCCTGAACACCGATCTGTTTTTGGCGCATAAGCTGTGTATTAGTGCTATTGTAGGGGACAGTGAGTCCAGTCTATTGGCAGTGAAAGCCCCGCAGTTCACTCAATATTGCATTCAATATAATAAGAAGAGTTACACTGTCTTGTCTTCTTATTACTCTCTCTCTCTCTCTCTCTCTCTCTCTCTCT